CTGGTCCTTGGAATGCAGGTCATACAGAGATGATCCCTCTTGGCAAGCTGGCAGCCTTTCTTCTTCTGCCTACTTAACCAAGCTTCTCTCGAGGGGCGGGAGCGGGTGCACGTTGCTGTCCAGCCGGCCGCCACGGGGCCTTCCCTGTAAGTAATTCCCAACAGACCCATATGTCTTGTTCCCTGTCTCCAGGTCTTTGGTCTCTCGGCAACCTCTCCTACACTGCTCACCCAGATGGGCGTGTGGCAGAACACAGGTTCTATTCTCTATTTTTTATAGATGAGGAAATAGGCTCAAGAGATCATGTTAGAATCTTGAAAACATCATGCTAAGTGAAATAAGCCAGACACAAAGGGACAAGTCCTGTATGCTTCTACTTAGATGAGGGACCTAGAACAGGCCCTTCCATAGAGACAGAGAGCGGAACGGGGTTCCTGGGGGCTGGAAGGAGCAGACAAAAGGGAGTCACTGTCTCATGGGTACGGAGCTCCTGTCTGGGATAAGGAAAAATTTCTGGGGCTGGATAGTGGTGGCGGTTGCACAACGTTGTGAAATGTACTTAGTGGCACCGGATTGTACACTTAGAAAGGGTTAAAGTGGTAAATTTTATGTTATATGCATTTTATCACAGTAAAAAGAGAGAAAGAGAGAGCACCTTCTGGCAGATTGTATTTTCCAAAAATGGCCACATTACTCTCTCCAGCCCAGCATGCCCTTCCAGAACGTGGCCCCGGTCCCACCAAGAGGCAGAGTCTATTTCTCCTCCTTTGAACCTGGGCAGAGCTTTGTCACCGCCTTGGTGAGTGGAAAACGGTAGGAGAGACACTGTGTGACTTCTGAGGCTAGATCCTAAAAGGAGTTGGGGCTTCTACCTGGCTCTCCCTCTCGGAACGCTCTCCTGGGAACTCAGACACCACATGTGAGGAAGCCCCAGGCCCAGCTAGAGTCCTAGCCACAGACAGCGTCAACTGCCGGACATGTGAATGAGTGAGCTTTCCGTTGATTCAGTCCCCAGCCTTTGAGCTGTCCCAGCAGACAGTGGGAGGAGAATTAGACTCACGTGAAAAATGCACAGAGGCTGCCCACATTGCAGATTCAGGAGCTAAATAAATGTTAAGTCACTAAGTTTTCAGGTGATTTGTCACACAGCCATGGTGTGACAGCTGGAACATACAAAACAGAACACCCGGGCCTTCACCATAGATAGTCTGAGAAGCACTACTTTGAGTAACACGCTTCCTTCCTTTGGCAGCTGGAACCCACACCCAGTGAGGGACAGAGCCAGGATCTAGAGCTGAAACTCCAACACTCAATGATACCCCCACGTCTCTGGAAATGGCACAGAAGTCTATACCTGCAGCTCTGACGAGCCCGAATCAATTCTATGTGAATGTCCCAATGTAACTTTACAGTCCATCTATTTAGAACCAAGCTTATCTTCTGTTCCTCAAAACCAGCCACTGGACCCCCCACGCCCCCGCTCCCCACCGTGGACAGAAACAGCTGCGCCGTGGTGTGATGGCGCCCTTGCACATAGCCACTGAGGCAAAGGCTTGAACCACCTCTACCTGAGTCTTGGCAGAAGGCCTTGTGATGCTCCCAGACATGAGGGCGTGGGAGGCCTGTAAGGAGCTGGTGGAGGCCTTGTCTAGTTTGCCTCCTTATCTCCCCTGGGAAGCTGTCATGAGAAAGTTTCTCTTTTCTCTAGGATTCTGGTGAGGCGTGGGATTCGGAATATCAAACCCCGGCCCTGCAGTCGAGAATTAGCCCCTCAGCGATGGCTGTCCCACAACTCACGTTGCAGTCGTGTCATACTTTTCGGTGTGTGAGACAAAACTCTCAGCGAGCTGGCACCTTTGGCTTATTCTTTTTGCACCGGTTGAATCAGTCAGGCCTTGGCCTTTGCTTTGCACGTCCTGCATGTCCCCATTTCTATCAGTCACAAAGAGTGAGCATAGCCAATATGGAAGCTGGTTGCACAATTCTGCCGTATGTGTACAGTGACGTGGGTCTCTGTGTGTGTCCATAACTGTAACCAGCTTCTTACAGAGCTCTGCATGTGACCCAGCAAAGGCTAAGAACCCCTGACCTAGACAGAAGATGGCAAAACAGTGAAAAACAATGCACCACAATTCCCCCTAGAATTTGGAGTCTCAAGACGGGAATGGTATCCCAGCTCTGCGCGACTGGCATGTCCCTAACCTTTCTGAATCACACGTACTCATTTGGAAAACAGAAGTTATGTCTGCTCTGCCTACTCAACTAGGTTTTTGCAAGGGATAAATAAAATACTTTATCTAAAATTGCTTTATAAATGATCAAATACTCTACAAATATAAATTATTATATCACTTGATTCCAGAGCATGTGGTTCTCAGTTTCCATATTCCAGTTTACATCATTTCCTACTTGTCTTGAAATAATAGTTCTTACTAGTCTTATCTCCCTCTCCCTCCTGTTGTCTGAGTGTTCCATTTGTCCAGGGTCTACTGCCATTGTCTGAATCACAGTCACCAGCTTTAGCATCACACAGTCAAGGTTACTGCTCCTCTTACCAAATTAAAGCAAGCCTCCTATTTTAGTCAGAGTTTATTGGTTTCTAAGAAACAGAAACTCACGGCAGCTGCGCCCCCTCCTTTCCCAAAGGAAGGAAGCATGTTACTGAGAGCCGTGCTTCTCACACTACCTGTGGGGAAGGACTGGTGTTTCGTTTCGGTTTTTTTTTTTTTTAAATTTCCAGTGCATCATGTGTTAATATTTTTATAAAATGCAATAGAGAGAAAAAGGACATGAAAAACGCATACAAAATTCAAGCCACATTTTATTACGATTAGATTCAATAGCCAACTGTCAAAATAGCTAAAAAAATTTCTAAACTCTTTCTCTCAATTTCTATACTAACTTCCTGGTGGATTGGAAGCAGTTTGTGAGCAACACTTTTGGGTAGTACAGATTTAAAGGATAGGAAGGCATTTCATGAAAATAAAGCCCAGTCGAGAATCTGATTGGCTGCTGGTCAATTGATGGACGTCCCCGGCCCCCAGTCTCCCCCACCGCCCCAGACCGGGTCCAATCAGCCACGAGGGAGGAACGATCACACGGCACGAACACTGCCCTCTGGCCGAGTCTTTGGTTGGGGCGCTTCCCGGAGAAGGGGGCGTGAGATACAGGCCGGGAGGATCTAGGAGCGCACAGCCGTGCTGGCCGCCAGGGTTGCCCCGTGAGTGCAGCGCCTCAGCAACTTCATTCATTCAGAGACCGCGGAGTGCTCCCCATGGGCTGAAATTCGGGGGCTGAGTGTAATGTCCTGCAGAGTGAGTGTTCCATAACGCAGAGAATAAAATCTTCACAAAAGATATGCAAATACCATTAATTTGAATGCAAAGACCACCACGGTAAGCTCCCGTCCTCGAGAAGCTCACAGTGCTACTTAGCTTGCTCACAGACGAATTTACTTTTCTATCTACTCACACGTGAGAAAAATGCTGTATTTCCTAGCCCCAAAACCCTACCAAAAAAATTAAATTCTTATTTATGGGCAATGTGTAACACTTTCAGCTCATCAAAATCTGTGAATTCCTTCCACAAGTAATTTATCTTTCTATGTATATGATGGGTTCCCTTGTATGGGGAGTGCCCTTGAGGGCTGTCTCCCTAACCCTAGCACTCCCAGTGCCCAGAACAGGAACATGTCTGCCAATATTCATCATCTTTTGACACTGGTGGTGGTGGTGGTTGTGTGGATGATGAAGAAACAGCAGGGATGACGACCTGGGATCCACATCTAGCTCGGAGTTACCAATCTGGAAATGGAGTTAATAAGGTCCACCTCACAAAACTGTAGGTTATAATGACATAAAAGTAAGTAAAAGCACCTAGCACAACACCCAAGTGCCCAATAAATGTGTGTTAAAACTGTTTAAGGAGTCAAAATATGGAACTGTCAGGGGGTAGTTAATAAGAGCACCCTCCCTGCGAACTTAGTGGGTATCACAGCCGAGCATGATAACTTACGTTGGAAAGTATTGATCAAGAAAAGGTGCGTTATGCTTCACATTGTCTGTTTAAAAAAAAAAAAAACAGGTAAGTGAGCAATGAATTTTAAGTTATTTAAAAAAATTTTGTGAAAATGGACTTCTGGGTAAAGATGACAGGAGGAAGCTGGACTGTAGAATTGCCTCCCTCTGTTACCTAATGAAATGAATAAATGATACGCCAGAAAACGTTACATGAAATCCAGATCACAGCTGAGAAAACGAGAAAGCGCTATAAAAATTCCAATGGAAAGAAATGTTTATTTCTGCCGGGTATATTAAGATGCCTTCACTTTGTCCCCACTATAATGATCACAGAACCCTGTGGGAGGCTACAGGTAATCAGGTGCCAACCAATATTTAAAAATTACATTTAATGTAAAGTCTAAATTTTTCTTTTCTAGAAAGATCAGTCCTGTCCCCACTGGCCCTGCTTTCCTGCCATCAGGTGCTCTCTAGTCACCAAAGTCCCCACCACTCCTCCCTTTACCACCCACCGAGTTGCTCCAAGTGTCTGGGTTTGCAACCCCTAGGTGGGCATTAACTCCCGCTTTTACAAAGAACACTGAGGCGCAGGCGGAACAATGTTAAACCGTGGCAGAGGCTGGGTTTCCAACCTAGATATTTCAAGTAAATTCTGTACACTTTCCACTGTACCAACTGAAAATGAGAACAATTCACTTCACTTATTTCATTCCATTTCCTGCTCTACTGTGCCACGAGCGTCTACACACATGGGAATGTGTTTCTCCTACGTGTCATTCGGGTGTGTACACTTTATGCCCTGAGGCTACAAAAGCCACGCAATATAATTTCATATTCTCCTTTCCATCCAAAAGTATCGGATCCAGAACTTGCCACATACTGTTGTTTGTCCCGCTGTGGACCAAGGACCGTCTTCTGTGAGACTAACTCAAAGCCACCGATTTTCTTATCGTTGTGTCAAAAAACAATACGGGACCATACTTTTTAAGTGCTGCATTTTTAATTTTATTAAAAACCAAGCAAACATCTTCAACATATCAAATGCTTTAATTCACATTTCCGTAGGCACTGACCACAATACAGACCAAACACAACAAAAGCAGTTAACCCGTGGTAATTGAGTGGTGGGTACACAGAACTGTGGCCAGAGTGGGGGAGAAAGTGCAAGAGGCCAGCTGGCTGCTTCAGAGAAGCCATCACAAGTGTCCTCGACACTGTGGGTTCACAGATCGCATTCAGTCAGTTCACCTGCAAGTGATCAGGGCCAAGGATTCAGGCTGCTCTAAGTTTGTACGAGACCATTACAAACCCGAGCGCCAGTTTATCCGTAGGGCTCATTCAAGCAGATGGAGTCCGAGAGAAAGGCTGCTGGCAGAGCCCAGAAGCGGGGCAATGAGAGCAAGTCTTCTTCTGAGCCCCTGTCATCCCACCAGTCCAGCGTCCTGCCTTCTTTAGGAATTTGCTCACAGATAGCCCAGCCTCATCATCAAATCAGGACGTCCTCCTGCCTAGACCATGTTGGAGGAACAAGGAAAGCAACCTCACTTTCCAGCTCTCTTTTCAACATGGTAAATCGGCATCACAAAGTGCTCCCTGATGGAGATTTCCCAGATTACAGTTCACCTTCTGTGAAGTGCGTTCCGCTCTGACACTTTTCCTTTAACAGCAGGGCATCCTCGCAGACTGAGGAAGCGTCCTAGGTCTAACAGCAGCAGTACACTGACATTTGTAGCTTCTGACTGACTGATTTTCTGCACACAGTTCCACCGTGACTAAGCTCAATCATTTAAGTTTTGTGAACTTCTGTATTAAAGGGTGACATTTTTTGATTCTTTCTCCAGAACCTTGGAATGTACCTTTTTGACACCAGCAAGCCTCATGCACCGACTACACAGTCAGGTTCATGGGGGTAAACGTGTGTGTATGTATTTACTAAATACACAGACCATTCCTATACTTCACTAAAATCAGAAATAGGAGGAACCAAGGCTAAGTCAGTGCTTCACTATCCAACAGAATGCCTCTAACACTTGTGAATGGCCAAGCGGCCATATTCCAAGCAGCAACGGAGACCTTCAAAATATTCTTTCCATCAAAAAACATGAGGTTTCTCAATATGTAAAAATCAGTAGAAAATTAACCAGGTGACAGAGTCATTAGAGTAGTGGCTTCCAAACCCTTTAAAAAAACAGTGGAATATTATTTTGCAAAGAGGAAGTATTTTACCTACTGAAATCCTATCTGAAGCAGCACCCAGCGTGGGGCTGCGCTGACCCAAGTGAGGAAGCAGCAGCCCCTGCGGGCCCACTCCACGGCCCCTGCAGCACTGCTTGTCCTCCAGCAGGCCAGGGATCATGGATCAAAACCTACGGTGCCACGCAAGAATCTGAAGCTACTGATTTGTATCCAACAGAGTTTAGACAAATATATCAATTTGGATATGATACGAACAAATTTTTCATAGGCTTCTTTTAGAAGAAAGATTTGGGGAGAAGAGGGTAGTTAGTGGAGTGAAGGAAAAACAATTTCAAGAACATCCAATTAATTCCACTTTTCTGCCTGGTATCCATGGGGCGAAAGCCCTGGGTGAACACATGAGGTACAGACCAGCAGCTGTGAAACCTCAGTGTGCAGCAGAAGTGCCTGAGGTGCTTGTTAATGACACCAGAGATGCCTATGTCCCGTCTCCAGAGACTGAGTCATCAAGTCGGGGTGGCCGGGTGTAGGCATCTGCACTGCTCCCCAGCTCCCAGGTGGTTCTGATGCTGCAGAAAGCCTGCAGTCCCACTGAGAGAAACAGGAGATGGGCCTGAAAGGGAAAATTTGAGAAAAGCAGGGGCATACTTTGCAAAAGCAAAAGCAAAACCAAAACCACCTCTTCTGTCTTGTTGCTGAGAATACATCTTCATTTAGATTAGGATAGAATAACAACACTATTTTTTCCTTTTGAATTTCTAGATATTTTACAAAAATAAATCTACCTACATGCCATTGTCCCAAATTAGGTAGAATTAAAAGAAAATTCTGAATATAAAGTGCTGGTTCTTGCTTCAGTATTACCATTTTGAGGGAAAACCACACAAACTATCACCTCTTCTATTGACCTTTTCGGCTGAACAAGTACAAATTATGTATTCGGATCCACATGAATCTGTAAATTAATACAACCTTTAAAGTCTTCTAGTTAGTGCAAATTTAAAATCCCGTAATATACGTTAAATACAATTTTACTTTATATTACAAATGCAAACTGTTTTTCTTTTGACATGCTGGTAGTATTCATTTTTACAGCACAAAAAGGACTTTACAATTTCTGAATCACAGTATATTTTACAACTCAAGTAGGCAACATTTCAAAAAGCAAATACTACACATTTTTGACACACCCTAAAAAAATAAAAATAAATAATTTTGACTATAAAATTTTATAAACATTAGCTACATTTAGGGTTCATAGCTAATTGTAGCAGAAAATCTAAAACACATTTAAGATCATGTAATGTTACCATTAGATGATCTGTATTTTAAGACATGAGTCAGTATGATTTCTATTAAACATGACAAAGCACTGAAAATGATCACTGTCTACTTGTGGGATCCGTAAGAGCTGCCAGGTATTCAGCATTTAAGCCACTAGGCTGACGAGGAGTTAGGAATGCGTTAGGACAGTAAGAGATGAGAGAACTCTGAAAACAGACATGGAGATAGGCTTTACTTCATACAGTTCTTCCTGAGGATGTAGAAGTTATTTTTTTTAAATCAAGACAATTTAAAACGGAACAGGAAAGTCTTGTGGCAAATTATTTTCTGTAACGTGTAGAATTCCTGGGCATGTAAACAACTGCTACCCTAATGTATAACTTGCAAACATGAGTCTTGTAAATTATACTTATTTAAGGCAAGTCATATGCCTACACATTTATTTGAAATGCTGGGGAAATGTGCCTAAAAAATAAGTGAATTTGCTACAATAAGGTATTTTATGATTTGGTATTCTGAAATAACTTTCTGAAACAAAAATCAGATCTGAGAGAATAATGAAACAGAAAACTTCATGAAGGATCAGTAGGAAAAAACCTCACTGGATTATGAAAATTGAAAAATCAATTTGTTTAAACAAATGAGGATGTTGTATACAAACCTGTTCTAAATCTAATGTAACATTATGGTTAGAATATAGTTTTAACAATTACAAAAAACTATATAGATATTTTGATTATTTTAATTCTGACATCCCAAAGTAACTATTTACTTTGATTATACAACCAGCACTGTGAATCATAAATAAGATACAGCCTAAAGCAACGTGAATTTAACAGTGTATTTATAAAATGTGCTATGTGTAACAATTTTGACCATGAATTAAAGAGTAAAACTCATTATATTAAAAACATGATCAGATAAAAGAAAATCTACAGAACTCTCCCACCACTGCAACAGGTTACCTACCATGAAAGCTGTATGAATAAGGAGAAAACATGTCTGCTCACGAAACCTTTCAACACTAGAATTTAGCATCTCCTGCTGAGATCTGGAAGAGGCTAATTTAAGCAAAAACAAGTATTTTATATAATGTACTGACTACCGTATACGCTACTAAGTTGTTCCTTCAAAACATGGCACAGGCCTGAAGGTGACTCAAATTTAAGTTGATGGCAATTCATGGATGACAGATTCATAATAGATGCTTAAGGGGCAGGCTGGTTAACAACACAAGCCTCGCAGAGCTGACTGTCAGACTTTGGTGAGTTTTTGGCAACTGAGGGTGACGTAAAACAATGAAACAAAGTTTCAGTTACCCACAAGTCGACTGCCAGTGCTTTCATTCCCCCTCTTTCAAAAGCATTGAGCAATATTTCCGAAGAATGAGAATATCTGGATAATATATGTCAGGAGAATTGAATTATGAGTTTTAATTACTTAGTCAATAGGCTACATTTCTATCTGACTGTGACAGAATTTATGTGACCCATTTAACTTATTAAATGAAGCCATATATTGTAAACACTAAACACAGGTATACCACATTAAAGAAAATAAATAAGTAAAAAAAATATATCTTTAATTTAAAAATAAATATGATATAAACATTTTAGCAGAGGACTGTCTGCTTCCCCAAGGGGAAAGTGTGTTAAGTCGTTTGTACACAAAACACTATTGTATTTCAAAATACTAGAAGACCAGTGAATTTTTAAAACTTAGCAGTCATTACTGAACTTTTTTTGAGCAATTAATCTAATAAATTTTCTTTAGTACATTTTTTTGAATTTTTGACACCACCTTTTAACCAAAAGAGAGGTTGGTGAACTGTCCAGCTCAGAACCCATGCGCTTCAATCCAAAGTGCTCTGAATGTTAACTTTTACCAATTATGTGGTTCTCTTTTGGCTGTACTGGGTTATAACAAGATGCTGAAATTTCAGCTCAACATGGCATTAACAGGGTTAACCAGATGACATTTGGGGTCTGAAAATGCTCCTAAAATAAAAATTATAATAAAACTTTTGGGTACTGTCTTGCCTTTATACTTCCCCTTTTAGGGTTTCCTGGAAATAGATACTTAGGGATCCACCCAGTGCTGGGCTGTAGGAAATTTTAAGGGGCAAGCTGCAGGAGGTTTGACACTAACCATCTCCTTTTAAAAAAGCAAGTGAATTTTTAAAATCTTGTTGGTGTCGCCACATTAAGAATTAACATGGAAATGACTTTTCCACCCCCATCCTGCTGGCTGTACAATGCGTCCCTCAGATGTGTGGTTCAAGGATGAGGAACGAGAGCAAATGCTTCAGAGTGAGTCCACTCTCGAATGGAAAGCCATGGAAAACATCTCACCTTCATGGAACATTCTGTGACTTTCTAAAGTTAGTGCTCTCCCATCAAAGTGTTCTGCTTTTAAAAAGAACCAACATTTGTAAACAACCGGAAGTCTGGCTGTTTTTGGAATGCTATTTACATAAATGTATACCCATTGTACTACTGGTGAAATTAGGACTAAGTAGTTGAGAACTTCCGCTTTTGGCTGAGTATGTGTCTACTCGTCCGTGAGGATCTGCCCTAAGTGTCCATTTCCCCACCATCTACTCAGCCTCCCTGACGTCCTCTTGATCCGAAGCACTAGAGATGTCATCGTCCGTTTGCTCTCCAGAGAAATATAACATCAGTGCGTGTGTCTTGTGAGTTATGGTTACAGTGCAGGGCCCCTGGGCCCACGGCTCCCCATCCACCTGCATTGGCATCATCGAGCACTTCAAAATCAGCTGGTAATATCGAACAAATAATCAGAAAAAGCGTCAGTTCCAAAAAGGTTCATTAAGGTCTTCCTTAATAATATCATCCACAGTCCCCTGACCCTTCTTAGGGACGTTTCTTAGCATCTCATTCTTAGAAAACTAATCCGAACACATCCTTATTCATTGATTGTTTAAGGGATTCTGTCCCACCAAACGCTCTATTTCTTCAGCTGGATTGAGGGCCATATTTCCTGTTTCTTTCCCAGCCCACTTGAGCCCCTGGTGGAGAGTGATCACCAGCACACGCTGTAACCCCTGCTTAAGGAAAGCTACAGAGTGTGTATTTTCTTCTACAGATCAATGGTGTAGAAATGGACTGGGACCAAGCAGCCTGTTACAGCAATATTTCACCTACCCGCACTGTATGTGCTTGCCCTATTCGAAAGGGATTTGCCAGTTTCACTTGAATCTGAGCACAGTGGAAAGACCCATACACTCCAACAACCTCCAGTAAACCATCATCATGCCTAGAATTGGAAAAAGGAAATATGGATTATATGATGCAATAAAATAAAATCAATCATGTCAGGACAATTACCTTTTAACATGGGTGGACCGTCAACTTATTAAATATTTATATTAACGAGGTATACAAAAAAGAAAACTTGAGGGAAAAATGCTAAAAGTCTATAAAGAACAACAAACTGCTTTGAAGAAGACAGTGATACAAAGAAAACAGACTGCACGCAGGACATACCTGGCTAGAGGGTAGGTCTCATCTCCCATCCCTTCCCACAGTCTGCAGCCACCGCCCCAGTATCCGATGTTCAGAACTATAATACCTTCCAAATTCGGCAGCTCTACTCGCTCCCCATCCAGTTCTAGCTTTAAAGAAATACAAGTATTAGTTACTATGGGGCACACTATTTCCAGACACAGCCACTTAGAATTCACAGCCATTTTCCTATTTATACGACGTGAGAGATGCACGTGTAAGAGAAGATACTTCCTACCCCTCACTCAAGGTAATCTGGTCTTTCCCACCTGGTTCAATGTTTGTTACAATACATGAATTATAACAAATGATTCTTTTTTCAGCCAAGGTCAATGATGTCCTTTTTGTTAAATCCCATGATTTTTTTCAGGCCTTATCTAACTTGCTGTTTCAAGAGGACCAGACACTGCTGACCCTCTCCCTCTTTTCCTGAAATATTCTCTTCCTTTGCTTTCCGGAACCCAGGCTCAACTTCTCTGGACGTTCCTCCTCAGGTGCTGCTGACAGCTCCACTTCCTACCTCGTGTCGACGCGCTCCTCACAGCGAGGTACCAGGCTCCTTCTTCTTCTCACGCCACAGACCCTGGAGGGAAATCTTAGCCACTTCCATATTGTTAACTGCCATCTTTGTGCTGACAGCTCTATTTTGCTGGTCCAGGAAAGTGAACTGGGCCAGATCTGTATATCTTACTGCCCACAAAACACTTCCAACTGACTGTGGCACCTAACACTCCTATGTACAAAACTGAGTTAAGCATCTTCTCTGCAACCCCCGCCAATCTCCTTCCCAGGAAAGAGCAGCACCATCCCCCGTGGCCGCCTAAGCCAGAAACCGGGAAGTCACCTTTGACTTCTCTGCCTTTACCCTCCACATCCAATTAATCACCAAAACCAGCTGTTACTACTTCTAAGTATCCATCCCTCTCCATCACTCCTAATAGTACCCTAGTCGCATACACCATCCTCTCTTCCCTAAAATGTTCCTAACTGGTCTGTCTCTAGCTTTACTCTCCTCTTATTCGTCTCTCTGAGCAGCTGGATTGACATGTATAAAATGCAAATGTCATCCTCTAATTACAACCCTTCAATGGCTTGACTCGTGCTCATGAGAAAATCCAAGCTCTTTAGTAGGCCAATGTGATCTGGCCTCTGTCCAACTCTCCAGCCTCAGCTCTTGCCTCTTTCCCTCCTGCGAGCTATGCACCAGCTTGAACTCACTCAAATAGGCCACGTTCTCTCCTGCCTACGGGCCTTTGCACATGCTGTTCTTAGCCAAGAACAACTTGCATCTCCTTCTTCACTCAGCTAACTCTTACTTAATTTTCAGATTCCAGCTTGTCACTTCTTCCAGAAAGACTTCCCTGTTAGTCACTTGCCTTAGACAGTTTCTCCAACCCCTGGGTTATGTATTGCTCTTATTTATTCCTATAAAACTGCATACTTTCCTGATCATATCCCTTCCCATACTGCACTGCACGTGGTTTAAATGTCTTTCTTCTCTCTAGACTGTAAACTTAGAGCAAGGAATTTATCACTGTATCCCCAGTACCTAGGTCAGTGCCTGGCATTTTGTATGTGGCTTCACAAATAATTTTTGTATGAATAAAATATCAGACAAAAAAATAAAGTGCTACCTCGTATGCTTCATTCCACCAATGCTACCAAAGCCCAGGAGAAAGGAAACACGATGAAGCAGAAGGATGCTTTCCTAACGGAAACCTTGCCGTGCCTTGCGCGCTGCGGCTGCAAAGGCTGTGAGCTAAGTGTCTGCTTGACCACGCCGCTCCCCGCGGCTTATGTAAAATCAGGCTCCTCACTCCCTGCTCAGTTTTTTCACTGTTTCCCAAGCTATTTATTGTTTGGCTCTTCCCTTTTTACTTATTTTACCAGGTGTAGGTTTTCTGTATTAATGTCTTTGCCGTTGCTATTAATCATTACGGATTCTCCTGGAAGCAAGCAAGGGACACATACGAGACTTTGCCATATCATGATACCAGGGATACTGTGGCAATAAGCATTCAAGAGTATCCCATTTTCACTGCTCATACATTTTTATTTGGCTTTAGTAGGTAAGAGCGATACATCACCACTGCAATCAACTGTTTCCACAACTGTAAACGAAACGAAACTCTGGGTTTACGCTTCCTCTCATGAGTCAGGCACTGTGTGAGGTAACTTCACATTGGTCATCGCGTATGAACGGAAGCTGCTGAGCATGAGTTAAACAGGCTCTGGAGTTAGCTGAACATGGGATCAAATCCTGATTACACATGTATTTGGGCACTGTGTGAATTTGGGCAAGTTACTTAATTTCAAATGGTTTTCTCTTCCGCATAATGAGAATATAACAGTACCTGCCTTACAGGGTTGTGGTGAGAATTTAGTGGGATAACGTGTAGAAAGCATTTGATCAAGTGCCTGGCACACATGCGCCACATATGTTAGTGAAATGCCTTAAGAGAAAATTCAGCATTTTTGTTTTAAAAAGAAAAACTTCAAAATCCAGAGACCGCCTAAAACTTTAAAAGCTTACCTCAACTTTTTTATTCAAATCTTTACATTCTTGCACTAAGCAATCTTTGGTTCCATAGAATAAGTAAACAGCCTAGGAGAAATGGACAGAAAACATGATATTAAGGCATTCTCACAACTGTAAGCAAGAATGAGACCCTGGCCCAGCTCCCTGGCACGCCTGCTGGGCCGGGTTTCCTTGGTGCGGACGAGACCCGGTGTACTGACGGGAAGAAGGCACACCAGTACTTTTGAGTTTAATTAGCCCATTTTTCAGGGGGAGTGTGGGATAGGAGTGGTATGTGCCCACATGGTGTTTCCTCCCAGTTTGTCCAAAAAGCTACATTTTATAAAGAAATACTCTATTAAAGTTAGAAAATTCCACCTTTTCCGAGTACTTCAAATTACTTAATGAAAGTAACAGAGAAATCTAGCAAGCATTTGATAATCACCTTCGAGTAGAGAAAGGCTGATGGAAGCAGAGACGTTAATTACCAATTGCACAAACAGCAATACTTACTGCCTTAGGAGCCATAGTAATAAAAGCAAACTATTTGTAAATTGGAAATATTTGTACAACAGAACCAGGAACAAAACTGTTCTGTGTTTATTTTTCACATCCTGTTGCTCAATCACCAAAAGTCATTAAAACAATTCCAAAACAAAACGTCCACCAAAGGCATCAGCTGTAACAGGAACCAGAGCAATGGTCTGAGTTAAAGGCCATGGTAAACAAACTGCTCCGTTTTTTTTTAACCTCATCTGCCTTTTGGAGTTTCTTCCACCCAATGAAATCTATTTTTCCATTAATGGCTTCGCCAAAAATTTATCCGCCCTAAAATTTCTTTCCAATTTTAGTTGCCATTTCAGTAAGATAAGCTACCATACATTCCATCTAGTTGCCATCTAAGTAGAACACGGTGTCAAACATTGTTACTTTGAATTTCAAAAAAATCTGTCATAGTTATAAAATACTTTAATAAAATACATCTAAGGATCTAATTTGACAGTCTTACACAAAACACAGCAGGCAAATGCTTCCATAAGGTAGTTCTATCAGCATCAACTTGAAAGAGCGCTAGATATAATTAACTATTGATTGTTACTGTACCTTCGGTGATAAGCAGGAAATGTTATGTTATCCAACACACCTTATTAAGAATTCTGCTAGAAAACAGAGACGGTGCCTTCTCACGATGAGCATGAAAATTGAGGGCCATGAGAGCATCAGGTCCAACAGAAAAATAGTTGTTCATCGTGAATTCCTGCGAAAAAGGGTAGGAATAAGCAGCAGATTAGGCTTCAGTCCAAACCTGTCATATATTAAATATGTAAATCTTAGTCTTTACGTTCTTTATGAAAATTTAATCCTTTCTGATTTTACTTTTCACACAGAACTATTTTATGCCATCCAGTGAAGTTTCCAGAAATAAAGCTTCAGAGGCTTTAGAGTTCAAAGGCTGATAACACAGATATGAATTTCACTTTCCACTTTGGTTTAATACGCTGCACCTCAGCTCTTATCATCTAGAAGGGCTCTACTCTGCACCCAGACCTTCCACTCCTGTTCTCCCATGACATTGCTTTCTACTTTCATTGCAACTCTCAGGATCTCAGCTCCTATCAGTCTCAACCCAGCCTCGTGGTCTCCCCTTAATTTATCTTACATCTCAACCCAGCGTGGACTCCTCAAACTGCATCTCCAGCTCTGTCTCGTTCCTGAGCAATAAGCCTGAATTTCCAACTTCTTGTTCAATGTGCCACACCCTCAAGGTTGATATGCCCAAATTCTAACTCATTTTCCTCCTACTCAAACCTGAAACTCTATTTTTCTTATATTGGTCAATGTCATTTCCATATATCCAGTCATAAAAACTGGAAATCTATTAGTAACACATATTTTCTCTCTTCCCCTAATGCCAATCAGCTGTCAAGTCTTGATTCGTCCTACCTCTAAAATGTCTGTGGATTGTCCTCATGCCTAACATTCCCCTGCTTCTGCCCTACTGCGGGTTTCCAAACTATTTCCATGCTATGTCCAGAGTATCTTTTTGAAAATACAGATCTGCTATCTCAGGATTATTTGCTACTTGCTACCCATGGTTTGCACCCTTTAGTCTCTATTTCCTCTGCCTGGAAAGTCTTTTGTTCCTTTCTTGTTGATCTCAGTTGTGTTCCCCTTTTAAGGACCAACTCACATGTCACTTCCCCCCAAATCTTTCCAGCCTGCTCTAGCAGGGCAGGACCAAGCACAGCTGCAGCCTGTTCTCTCCTCAGCACTGTTTACAGTCCAACTTGGGAGCTGCGCATGTGCGTTCCCTTCTGCTCCAGGACCAGCTCCCTGGAGATGGGCACTCTGCCTCTGTGCCCTCCACAGCGCCACACCTGTACAGAGGCCTCCAACGTCTCTGCTGAGACTTCCTGCAACTGAAGCCCTAAAAACATACCTTGGGTTTCCTTAAGTGGTAGTATCCTTTATTTGTTACTTGAACTTTCCACCTATAAAACAGAAGTTAAAAAAAAAATGAGCAATTACTACCAAATTAACTGCTAATTAACTAGAATGATCACCAATCAACTCTGGATGCCTGGTAGATGAGGTTCGCCTGGTAAAGCAGCACTGGGAAAGACAAGCATCTCTGAGTGAGCACGCAAACGCTGAGGGAGTACTCAGCCAACTGAGGGCCTCAGTCCTCACACGACACCAAATTATACAGCAACAAAAATACGACTAACGCAGTCTTTTACACTTAAATTACATTTAACTTTATAACCAAACAAGTCTTCATTTATGAACCAAACAATATTCCAAAAACTCAAGAAATCTACCTTTGGCAGGAAGTACAACCTACCTATCGAGTTTAATTCCATCTGCTTCCATCACATTTCTTAAGACTTGAGCCACTGGGATTTCTCCCGCATAACCTGTTCCCCAGCCCAGCGTGTTGGACAGATCGTTGCCTGTCCCCAGAGGCAGCACTGCAACCTGCGGGATGTATTCCTCTTGTCCCTAGGACACAGAAGGTAGTTAGATTTTTCTCTTCGGACTGTGTGTAGGGTAATCAAATTTGGTAAAATTTAAAGACCAAAGAAAGATACAAATACAAGAACAGTATGTTGTTTTGCTACAGGTAATGTCAACTGCTTAAGCATAACATTCAAAATTAGGGATGTCTTCTAATATTCATCTGCATAATCAAAAATACAACCAAAAATATTATATAATTATCTTGGCAATACTTCTGTGAAAGGCAAGTAGGTCTCAAAGATTGATACCTTAATCTTCATTTCATCAATTGCATCCAGGACCCAGCCCACAGTCCCATCCCCTCCACACACAAGCACACGAGCTGAGTAACAGGGAAGGAGAGTACAAAGCTGCAGGGCTTTGATAGGAGGAGTTTTAGTTACATCAAAAACCTAGAAATGAAAGAAAAGGGAAAAGTTATCACTGTCCTCCATTTGTGAGGATGATTTCCCTTCAGATGAGTACAGATACGGGGAAATCACACTCCTGGCTATGAGGCATTTGTTTTTAACAATAGCCAGGCACTGTGCCAGACTATACCCTTTGTGGCTCATCCCGACACTGACCCTACAAAGCACAAGTAAGCCTCATCCCATAGACCAGGAAATCAAGGTACAGAAGGTTAAATACCCTGCCGACGATTCCCCTGATAATTAACTGCTGACATATAACTCAATCCTACCGTCTATCCATTACACACACTGCCTCCTTCCTGTTCACAGGAAACCAGAATGTGCTAAGTTCACCTTTAACTAGTGCTTCATATTTTATACGGAATTTTTAAAATCCTTTACTAGTGCAAGTTGGTACACATTTCTGGAAAATTATTTTGTAATATGCATAAAATGACGTAAAGATATAAGAATCCTTGATATCTATAATTCTGTAAATATCCGGGAAAATACTTCAAAAGATGAAAATGCCCTGTGTATAAAGGTATTCAGTGTGGCATTATTTATAGTTGTACTACCTTGGAGAGAAACTCAGCCTCCAACAGCAGGAGACTGGACAAATTTATTATGATATATCCATTTGACTGATTATCTTAGTCATTATACGTGTAATTATAAGGATTATGCTGCAATATGGAAAAATATTTATACCTTTAAGTAAAGAAAATAGAATGCAAACCTGTATCTAGATTATTGACACAGTAATGTTGACATGTAAATGCAGAGACAATTCATGGAAAGAACATGCACAAATGAAAACAACTGATGTATTTGTGTGGGGAAACCTTTCCTTTTTTTTATCATTTTTTATAATTTCCTTAAGTTGTATAATGTTGAAAGGGAAAAATACAAATTGGCAGGCAGAAAGCTATTATTGCATTTCTGATTGTGGCACAATGGGTTGTTTAGTTTTTCAAAGTAGAAGCTGCTAGCATGTAAACTCCATCTTTATGGTGTGGTCCTTTTTTTCTTATTTAAATTGAGGTCTAACTTACACATAATAAAATTCACCCATTTAAAGTGAACAATTAAATGATTTTTACTAAGTTTACTGAGTTGTGCAACCACTACCACGATCCGGTTTAGAACCTTTTCATCGCCCCAGTAAGATCCCTCAACGTCCATGTGCAGCCGCTCCCAACTTCCCGCCCCAGCCTAGGCAACCACCAACCCGCTCTGTGCTGCTAGGTTCCCCTTTTCTCGACAGGTCATGTACACGGAATCATACAATGTGGGCCCCCTGCAGGCTTCCTTCACTTAGCATGTTTTTGAGGTTCATTCATTGTAGTATGTAGGTCATTTGTTCCTTTTCATCAGTGAATAAGATTCCACTGTATGGGTACACCACATTTTGTTTTATCCACTCACTGATTAATGGACAGTTAGTTGTTTCCACTTTATGGCTATTATGAATAATGCTGCTATGAACATTTGCATAATAGTCTTTGTGGGACATATGTTTTCCTTTCCCTTGGGTAGCTTCCTAGAAATGGGATTGCTAGCTCGTATGGTGAATTTATGTTTAACTTTTTAATAAACTGCCAAACTGTTTTCTAACGCAGCTACACCCTTTATTTCCCCACTACGGAAGTGCCTCTTTCTCCACATGTTCAAATGGCTTGATAATTTTATAATTATTATTCTTTTCTATAATCAGGTGATTACTGGTTTAAAGCATTAGCCATTACAGTTTAGAGAAAATGAAAAGATTAATACAGAAAGTTTTCTCTTTAGTTACCTGGACTGGATTCAGGAGGATCCTAAATTCTCCCAACAGTCCTTCTCCCATGTTAGTTCCACTACGAGAGTTGGCCAGGATTATTAAAGGAGCCCATTGCTTTCCAAGCTTAGAGGCTAGCTGAAAAATTAATGCGAGTGAAAAGGGTTTAATATCTCAAAGACGGTGAGCAACAAATTTTTAATTTCTTGATAAAAACAACGCTGTAAATTTGCTGAGAGAAAAACAACTATCCCAGTACAGTCAATACATATAGAAATCAAAGAATTCTCAGGGTGGAAAGAGACCTTAGAGATGAACGAATTTAACTGGCACTTCCTGTATAATTCTCTTCTACATTACTCTAGATGGCCATCCAGCACATGCTCGGACACTCATGTAAGAAGGAACTCACTAACAAGGCAGCCCCTTCCACTGCTAAGTCAAATTATTAAAGAGTTTTGACTTAAATTGAGTTTAAAAATGGGTCTTTCAATAACTTTCATTTATTGTTCTAATTTTGCTTCCTGAGACAACTAGAAATGATTTCATTTTTTCTTCTATGCAGCCGTTGGGCTCAAACACCTGACACATTATAGCTTTTATTAGTCTTGTCTCCCAGGCAATACATTTCAAGCTCTTTCAACTGTTCATAGAATGGACTTGATTTTCTCTGCTCTCTTATCTGGACTGTCCTTTTCTGCATATATTCCAATGTACTTTAGTCTGAAAGTTTTTCTCTTTTTTAAATGGGGTACTCAGAAATAAAGATTCAAGAATCCAGATTTCTGCAAAGCCAAAGTTAAATGAAATTTATGTTTTTCTAACCTATTTCTTTCCTCTGCCCTTCTCCTTGTGAATGTAAACATTAATGAAGATGTTCCATGGTTGTACTTACTGATTCTCATCTCTTGTGATCTTAGGTTGAATTCAGATACATAAGGGACTGTACATTTAAAAAATACGTATTACAACAACATTAAACATAGTGTTTCTAAATTTTAAAATGCCTCTTTCTTTTGGAGGAATATTGACAAAGATGACATTTAAGATATAAAATCCTAACCTGGAAAAGACACAATTTAATTTTAAAATAAAATAGTTCAATTTAATTTTGGCATATTAAAGCAGGAAATAAATGCAAATTTTATAGTTATTCCCTAAAAGCTACATAAAGACTGAGAGATACATTTCTATCAATTTTCATACACACACACACTGCAGAGTGCTGCTGACAGCTTTAATGTTCAACATTACTTGTGGGGACATCTAACGCGCAATGTTAACTTATCTCCAGGCACCCATGTAAAGTTCCAAATGGAAAAATTCTTTTAGAACAACATGTGAGGAAAATCAGTGCTTTCTTTTCACTGGCAATAAGCTTGAATCCCTTAGCTGGCTGTTCACCAGAACCATCTGAGGACCCTAAAAAAATATGGATTCCTGGGACCTACCCTGGACCTACTAAACCAAAGGGGATGGAGGTGGACTCAGGAATCTGTATTTTTAAAAAGCTCCCCAGGTGATTCAGATGCAGGCAGTGATTCAGGAACCACTAATCTAACATTTCCAATCTCCCTGCAGACACGAAAGAACTCAAGAGCCAAAATCTGTGGCACATCTCTAGGAACTGGGCAGGGTTTTACGGCTTACCACAATGATGCCTCTCTCACACACAGTCGTAATTCTCTCACACACTGACTTAAACAACTTTTTGGAAGTCAGTTATATAACGAAAAATAAACTGTGATTACCAGTGCGTAATCTGTTTTTTTGTCTTTACGCATCTGATTAATAGAGGTTAAATAACTTGGTGGGATGATGAGGTTTTTGAATTCTCCAAAATCACACTCTTCATTCCTTAAGCTATTTTTCATGCACTCATCATGTACTGTTTTCTGACACCAAATGCACCTAAAGGAAGGAAGAAACAAAGACAATAATTAATTTTAAACCATAATCTTACTGGTCTGCAGACCAATCATTTTTGTCAAAACAATTAAAACAGTAATTTCATCACCATTGAGCATAAAATCTGGCAAATAAAAGATTTAGGATTGTATCTGCATAGCCAAAACAGAGCAATAAAGTGTGAACGTATTTGGCAGTTTAACCTAACAGTGGTTCTTATAGTGTGGTCTGGGGCCCCCAAGATCCTTTCAGGGCATCTCTGAGGTTAAAATCATCTTAATAATAATATTAAGAAGTTATTCCAGGGCCGGCCCCATGGCCAACTGGTTAAGTTCGCGTGCTCGGCTTCAGTGACCCAGGGTTTCGCTGGTTCGGATCCTGGGTGCGGATATGGCACCGCTCTTCAGGCCACGCTGAGGCTGCATCCCACATGCCACAATTAGAAGGACCCACAACTAAAATATAGAACTATGTATTTGTATTTGGGGATTTGGGGAGAAGAAGAAAAAAAAGACTGGCAACAGATGTTAGCTCAGGTGCCGATCTTTAAAAAAAAAAAATGGATGTTATTCCACCTTCATTCTCTCAAAAGTATACAGCAGTTTTCCAGAAGATGTATGACATGTGTTATATTCATAAGCTGAATGCAGAAAGGGGATAGATAGGAGAATCTAGCTGACTTCTAAGCCAACGAAATGTACCAAAAGTGTAAAACAACGTCACTCTTTTCACTAAATTTTCACTTATTTTCATAGAAATACTTATGCTACCATTACTGTTATTTTAAAAATGAATATCTAAATGACTGCTTAGTTTTAATTTATAACACGGTAAATATCAGTAGATAAAATCCACACAAAAAAAGCTGGTCTAGAACAATGGTTTTGTGCATTGATTATTTGCGCTTTGGCTGAAGTAAATTTGTGAGGCTAAAGTCTCAAGGCTTAAATGCCCGCTGGCCTGGGTCCCCGAAGCGCTCAAGGGCCAGCTTGAAAATATCTTACCTTATAACCATCTGCGAACACTTTAGTAAAGGCAGTAAAATGGTGAATTTCTTGTTGGGGGTTAATACAAAACTAATCTGTATGTTTGCATTTGAAACACAGACAAAAGACATTTACATTCAGATTTGCCTCTACCTTTGGACCCATGGGTGAAACAAGCAGAGAACAGGGCTGGTAAACGGCCTGGTTTCTATTATTAATCTGCTAAGTATTTAATCCACTCACAGCTAAGGCGGATCTAACCCTACAGACAAAAGCAGGCCGAGGGAAAATAATGGTTACAATTAAATGAATAATGAAAAAAGAGAGGATAGAAACTCTTTCACCCCAGGTTAACTCTCTGGGACTTCTATTTTAAGGTTGTTTTTTCCAGTTGGATGTTCAGAGTTGTCAAGCAATCGCTGCTATTTACTCAAGAGTCCTAGTTCCTGCTAACAGGAGAGTTATCTGCATGATCTGCTCAAGAGAAAACTGTGAAACAACATGCGTGGTAACCAGTGCTAATACTCGCTTTCAAACTGAGCTTGAGAAACTACAACAGACCGCTTAGGCAGCCAAAGCACACCACCTCCACCTCCCGCTCTACTATTAACTTTACAACGGTGTATTATTATTGAAAATAACTCTAAAGGATACTCGCTGAATTATTCCGCGATGGTTTCCTCTGGGAAGGAAAGAGGGAGGGAGGGATGAGAAGAACATTCACTTTTTACTCTATATTTCTCTTGTATTGTTTGAGTTTCTAAAAACCAAATATGTTCATGAACTGCTTGTATAAATTTTCTAAATTGGATTTTAAATAAGGTAATATCAGCTTACGCTTGAGAATTTAGAAAATACAGACATCAAGTAAAAATCATCCCGAGACAGTTACTCTTAACTTTCTGATGTACTTGTTCTCAGTTGTATAGTGCACATATGTTTGTTTTTCAGGTTAAGGATATAATGTGTATATATCTGGGTAGTATTTTTCTTCCCACATTGTATCATGAATATTGCCCTATGACATTAAATATTTTTAAAAAATATGGTTTGTAAAGAATGCATAATATCATATCACATGGAGATATCAATTTATTTACCCCTCCCCCTATTTTTTTGGTGAGGAAGATTCGCCCTGAGCTAACACCCGTTGGTAGTTTTCCTCCATTTTTTGTATGTGGGACACCTCCACAGAGTGGCTGATGAGAGGAACAGGTCAGTGCCCAGGATCCGAACCTGTGAACCTGGGCTGCGGAAGCAGAGCACACCGAACTTTAACCACTCGGCCGTGGGGCCGGCCCCCGACCTTTCTTTTTTTTTACATTTAGATAGTTTTCCTACGTATAAACAACATGATGAACAACCTTAAACATAAATGAGATTGTTTCCCTGGAGTTTCAGAAGTTAAGTCAATGCATTTTCCTCAGGTTCTAGATACGTGTGTCCAGTATGCTTGTTACCAGTCAAGAAGGTGTCCATCATGTAACACTTGCTAATACCGCTCATCAGCACTTAAAGACTTTTCCTTGATAATCTGATAGACAGGAAAAGTATTTTATTGTTTTAATTTGGAGGTCTTTGATCACTAGGTGAAGCTGAATTTTTTTTTGCCTGCTTTTGTAAATTGATTTACACCCTATATTCATCTTTTACTAGGTTTCAATAACTGTATGCACTTTTTATTTATGTAGGAAATCAACTTTTCTGTTAAATTGATTGCAAGCTTGTTTCAGTTGTCTTTTAAATTGACCTTTTTACTGTACTTTATTTTTTCATAGATAGGTCAGTATTTCCCTTTGCAGTTTATTTAAATGCTTTTATTCTTCGAAGTCCTTTACCATTTCCAAATAAGATAAATACCCACCTATAGTTATCCCCCTGCCCCCCAATTCTGTTTCCACACTTCTGTCTTCAATGCAGTGCTTCTTAACCTTCTGGGGCCACAGATCCCATTGAGAATCTCGTGAAAGTGTCAGGCTTTCCTGGAACCTTTTTGAAGAACTAGGAACCCCTGGTTAATCCATTGGGAGTTAATTTTGGTGATACTAGTGTACAGCAGGATACGAAGATTTAACTCTTTTCCTCTCAAAAAGCACTAGGCACTAGTCCTAGCAAGATTTATAAAATCATCTTTTCTGTTCCTGCTGATTTGTGACACCTTTTCTCCTTTACTAAATTTTCATAAATTTCAGAAAAGATTCTTTTAACCAAGATGATGGCTATTATCAGCCTTTGCTCTGTAAAGGTAAAGCCAAGAGGCTTACTAGTTATTTGACATTATACTTTTCCTTAGAAATATCATACTCAAAATTGAGACCTATTCTCTTCACATATTTTGTAATTAGTATTTAACTCAATCTAGATTTCAAACCTGACGGGAAAATAAGACAGTTATAATGTGTTGATATCTTATTTTAGTTTTAGCAATCATGTCACTGAGTAATTGCTTCTGATTTTTTCCCCAACTTTTTATTTTGAAAAATCTTAAACCTATACAGAAATCAAAAAAAGAGCAAAATGAATACCCTTAAACCAACCCTTCACTCTAATTCTTAATTTTTTCTCCCACGTTTGCTTTCTCTCTTTCAATATAAATTCATATACTGCTAAATCATTTGAAAATACATTGCAGACATTATGAGATTTCACCTCTCAGTACTTCAAGCAAGTATTTCCAAAAAAAACAGGATGGTCACCCTGCTTTTTAAAATGTTGTGCATCAAAAATTTTTTTATAGTGAACACAGGTACGCCCACCACCTACATTCCAGCATTAACATCTTACTGTAATTGCTCTGTTATATTTTATCCATCCATTAATCCATTTTATTTTTGGTGCATTTCAAGTAAATTTCAGAAAACAGAATACTTCCTAAATACCTCGGCAAGCACACATATCATTACTTGGATTCCATTATTCGTTTACAGGTGTTTCTTCTTTTGATGTAAAATTTACATACAATGAAATGTATAAATCTGTACGTTTGCTGAGTTTTGACAAATGAACATATTCATGTAACTAAAACCCTTATCAAGACAGAGAACATTACCCTACGTGCGATTCTTGCGCAGGAGTTTGACTGCATTATGCTTTTAAAAAGAACTTTCACAAAGGAAAACAAACTGTTGGCAACACTGCTTATTATTTTCTCTACAGATACCTGTTGACCACAGCGCTCTTCCTTAGTGGGCTGGAGGAGGCAACAGAATTATACGTGAAGTTGAGATGGTCATTTATGAAATTCACACTAGAACACGGGTTGGCAACTACAGATCCATCTGCTGCCTGATTCTGTGAAAAAAGTTTTACTGGAACACAGCTACACTCACTCATTTATGTGTTGTCCATGGCTGGGTTTGTACTCCCATGGACGGTAGAGTTAAGTAATTATGACAGACCACACGGTCTGCAAGCCTAAAATACTTAGTTTTGGCTCTTTACAGAAAAAGTTTGCCCACCTCTGCTCTAGAAGATGACTTGGTATCTATCATTGTTTCAGATAATTAATGAAATGAATAAAAATGTACCAATAAAACACAGAAACGTAAAATTTAAGATCAAAGCCAAGACTAAAGTGGCCAATGTAATTACCTATCAAGAGTCAGAAACTTTGTTTTATTAATCAGCGTGCATGTGTGTGCGTGTGTGTGTGTGTGTGTGTGTGTGTGTGTGTGTGTGTGGTGGGGGTGGGGGATGGAATGTAATGAAGAAAAGGTCTTACAAACAAATAAAAAGGCACCTTAAGTTTTCCTAATGAGAGACAGAGCACCATGAGGAACACAGGTTTACTTAACAAATGTAATGAGTGCTTAACAATATAACCTGATTCCCTATTTCTGTCAGAAGAGAGGTGAGCAGAAGGAAAGGAAGTACAGGGAAGGGACGATAAGTTACCAGCTGCCGGAATACACTGTCGTGGTTGGGGGTAGATGCAGGAATACACACAAAAAAGAAAAAAACATACAGGAAGGTAGAGTCTAGCACAGAGCCAGCAGAAAATAGATGCTCAACGTGTGAGAATCAAACAAGGACGGAATGCATATAAACTAAAGGGCCACTGTCACTTACTCTGCAGTCTGACTGGGCTGCAGGCTTCAGAATCAGTTACCACCTGTCATTACCACCCCGTGAAATGCTAACTTGTTCAACAGTCTTCCGAGTTCACTTAAAATCCTGGCCTTCTCGAGAGTGTCATGCAGACACGGTCTGGGTAAATTCCAGAGAGGGACAGTCCGGTCTGTGTCTAAAGGTTCTAAATAGATATCTTTGTTTCTCTTTCTAAAATATTCTCACAAGGTCACAAGAGACTGTAATCCTGCATAAAACTAATGGCTAAAATAAATCAGAACATTGCAGAACATGTACAACTGGAGGACACTGTGCTCTTTTCTCCTGGGAATAATCAACACTTCCTAAATTACACACAGACAATTTCTGTTATGGGTGAGGGGTTCTAGCATGCTGGGAACAGACTGTTCAGGAACCCTAAAGACGAGCTAATAAGGAAAAGGAGATCTATCATCATAAACATCCAGTGCGCTCAAAGGGGAGGACAGAAAATCAAGGACAGAGGCTCATGTCTAAAAAGGTACACAAATACAGCTGTGGTTCTCCGACGTTAGAATTATCTGCAGGACCTGCTAACGCAAAGACTGCTGCTCCCCAGCCCAAGTTTCTGATTCAGCTGGTCTGGGGTGGGGCCAGAGTTGCCAGGAAAAACAGAAGATGCTCAGTTAAACTTGAATTTCAGATAAACAACAAACAATTTTTTGGAATAAGTGTATCCCAAATATTGCAAATATTTTGTTTGCTAAATCTGGCAACCCTAGAATTTGAATTTCTAACAAGTTTCCAAGTGATGTTGCTGGTCTGGAAACCTTCCAGAACTGCTGGGATACAGGATATTATGCCATTATCAAGAAGCAAACATTTGGGGGCAAGGGTGGGTAGAAGATCAGGCAAGGGTTCCTGGATGAAAAGGCACAAGATGATTCTTCAAGGACGCCTAGAAATTGGCCAGGAGGAGAATACTTAAGACAGAGAGAAAAGCCTTGAGAAAAAGAAGGGCAGTAGGAAAAAGCCTGATATTTTAAGGAAACCACAACCAGCCTGATGTCGCTGGCACACAACGTTTAATGTAAGGTACTGGTAGATAAGCTAGAAGGGCAGGCAGGGTCCAGAGAGCATGCGGGACCTTATGTACTGTGTTCAGCACCCGCAGTTAACACTGAAAGACCATCAGCGTAAGTGACGGGAGCAAGTGATGGGTTTCAAGCAGAGCAGGGACTCAGCCAGATATATATCTCTACAAATACCATTCGAGTGGAGGATCAGAGAACCATGATTTGTTAAGGAGTATCTGAAATGCAGTTAAGATATTTATGGAAGCCATTTTTTTCTAATTTTGCATGGACGCAAAGAAGGGAAGGAAATAATACTCAATTCATGTCTTCTTTCCAACTAATCCCGAATCTTCAAGACCAAAGTTTACCTATAGAGAGATTATGAAATTCCTTTAAAGACACTGGTAACCTAGCTCTCACTGATGCCAAACCGGTAACCTAGTCTCACTGATGACTTCATTTTTCCCTACGTAAAACGGAGATAATCAATAGGGACAAAAGCTAAAACATAACACACAGTGGCCATGAAGTATGAAGTATGAAGTACTCAGAGAACTTTGGATGAAAGTTGAGAGCCAAATTTTATCACACAAAAGGGCAGGTTGGCTGAGAAGTGGAGGTTGGATGCAGCATCTCGGCAAATGACGACAAAGCTGCCCCGCTCCTACGTACAACAATTATTAGCTCGCTTCCTCGAAGTGGGCAGTTCAGGCCATTTGCAGAGATCCAGGCAGGCCTCTACGCCTACTCCAGGAAATCCTGCCTCCTACCACGCATTCCAGGACAATCAGTACCCACAAAGGCCATACCTGTAATCGCAGAGCTTGGGCTGAGTGCCGCACTGCTGCTTGCAAACCACACAGTAGCTGCACAGGGGCACGTTGCCCCGGATCCAGTGGTGGGGCATGGCGTCCAAGGCCCTGCCCTCATTCTTGAGCATGATCTCCTTGCACTGGAAGCGCCTGTCGGCGTTCTTGAGGCAGCCCTCGTCCACGCAGAGCCCGCAGCAGTCGCAGAAGGCCCCCTGCAGAATGTGCTGCGCGCACACGCAGCAGTAGGTGGGCTGGCTGAACAGGTCCGTGTCGCGCCACCCGTGCTTGCTTTTGCGGAAGATGTCCCTGCGGTGCAGCTGCCGGCGCGACCGCTGGAGGCTGCACCAGAAGGTGATGAACACGGGCAGCAGCACCGAGCACAGCGTCCACAGGACCAGGTGCCCGTCCGCAAACAGGCCCTCGGAGGGCGCCGGCCGCTTCTCCCCCTCCATCGTCTCTCCAAGGACGATTCCGCACTAGAAGAGAAACAGGCGGGGTCCACCTGGGGTTCGCCAGCCCCGCCCCGCCCTCCTCCCTGCCTGTTAGGGAAAACGGAGGGCGCCGTCTGTCCTGCGGCTCCGCTCTCTCCAGGAAGGAGCACGCGCACCGTCTTCCCCGCGGCTCCCCCTCCCGGGTGCTCCGAGGGGGCGGCGCCCGGCGGAGCCACACTGCGTACCCTCTCTCCTCCTCCGGCCTCGCAGCCGCCCCGCATCTCGCCGGGCATAGGGAAGGGTGCGATCAAAACGCACAGGCCGCCCCGCGCGGGAGGCGGGCGCGATGGCGCACGTGGGCCGCGCGGCGTCGGCGGGCGTCCGGAACCGTTAGCCCGGCCCGCGTCTCCTTCCGCTCCCGCAGGGCCCCGCGCACCTGCCCCTCCCGCCCCTCGGGCCCTACCTCGCTCCAGGGGCCGGGCCTCAAGCCGCCCTCCCGCCTTCGCGCCTCCGGGCCTGCCGGGGCGCCAACGCCCGCGAAGAGGCGGAGCGAGCGGGCGCGCACGCCGAGCCAGCCGAGACGGGTGGGGGGGGCCGCGGGCGGGGCCTGCAGCGCGAGCCCCGGGGCGGGGCGGGGCGGGGCGGGGCGGAGGCGTGAGGTGGGATGGGAAGGCCTTCGGGGGCGGGGCCTCGGGGAGGGGTGGAGCTGGGCGGAAGGGGCGGGACCCGTGGGTGTGGCTTAGGGGGAACGGTGGGCGGAGTAACAATAAGGCAGGGGCGTTAGAGAGGCAGGAGGGTGGATCCCTATGTCTGTAACCATAGAAAGTTCTAGTATGAATGATTTACAGTATGAGTGAAGCTTCTCCATCCCCCCTCCTCCTCACTGTCTGGTGTGGAGTGGAGCTGGCACCGTTTTGAGAGTGTTATATACTACAGTCCAACTCAAAAATTGACGGATGCCGCCTGCGCTCTTGCTGGTTGTTAAACATATACTGACCAAGGGCTTGCTATATATGACCAAGGCCAAGCACTGTGCAAGGAGCCCCAGTTCTCAGGGAGCGCCAGGCCTGCTGAAACATGTCTAACAGAAAGCGCTGATTAGCCCTGTGTGCATTGATTAGCCCTGTGTACAATGTCTTACTGCACCCTAGCTCCCGTCTCTGCACTTGCGAGGCACCATGGTCATTTCACAGATGAGGAAAACCAAGGCACAGGGCAGCTGAGAAACATGCTAGATGTCACAAAGCCAGTGTTGGGACTGAGATCACTTTGTTTCAAGGTGCTCATTCAAGTTAGCTTCGATCTAAATTAAGCCATCAAAGAGAGTTTCTCTTATTTTGTTGCTTCTCTAAGAACCTTGCCCTGGGGAGCTTGTGAAAATGCAGATCGTGATTCCTTTTCTTGGAGAAGAGGCCTGAGAGTCTGCGTGTCTACTAAGTGGTCAAGTGATGCTGATGTTGATGGTCCCTGGGCTGCACTGAGTAGCTATGCTCAAGTGTTTAATGATCTGGGTTGTGAAGAGTGAGCGGGCAGTGTGGTGAAACGGGAAGAGCGTTAAATGGGCATCGTGAGGCCTGGGATCAGATCCCGGCCACCTATGAATGATGTGTATACATACACGTCTGTGAATCCTGGTTCAGGCAGAGCCCTTAAATTAGTTTAGATTTGAAAAGGTAACAAAAGAATATACTTCTGAAAAGTGAGCTTTTTAAAAAAAATAGTTCTATAATAGAACATTTGGAAAATACAGACAAGGAAAAAGGAAGACAAAGGAATCATCCACCCCTCTCCCCAGAGACAGCCTGTGTTTGAACATTTTGGCCTATTTTCTTCCATTATTTTTTATGGAAAGTAAACAATGGTTTACTTTTTTGTATACATAAGTTTGATCCTACGGTAGATATATTCTCTATCTGGCTGTTTTTTCATTTAAACATTACAAAATAACTTTTACGTGTTTTGATAAATTTGTTTTTAATGGTTGCATAATATTCCAGTCTGTGAATATATTTCACAGCTTATGTAACCTTACCTCTGTTGTTGACTATTTGAGTTGTTTCTAATATTTTGCTATTGTATGTAACTCCTCTGTTTTAGGGGTGTTTCCTTAGCCTCTCACATTAGCTAAAGGATATGAAAAGTTTAAGGCTTCTGGAAAAGGTTTTTAACAATAATAGTCTCTCTTTCCTAAGTGAAAATCATCTGGAAAATTTCCCTGAATAGAAAATAGAAATTACCAAGTCTGAGGAAACACTCCTATTCCACTAAAGGCAATGATAAGAATTATTATTATAGCCAACCCGTGTTGCTTGCTTAGTAGATCCTAGGCACTGTGCCAAGTTTATCATCCTCATTTTACAGATGAAGAAAACTTGCTTGATGTCACACAGCTAGGAGTCAACTGAGTTGGGGCTTTGAACCTAGTTAGCCTGATGCCAAAGCCTGTGATGCTCTCAAGCCAGGCAGGTATTTCAAGGTGTGGTCTCTGACCACCTGCATCGGCATCATCTAAAAACATGGGTTCCGGGTCTTGACTGCGTCTCCCGCATCGGATTTGTAGTGGAGCTAGGAATCTGCCTTCTTAACGAGTACACCCTCCGTGTCTGAGCACAGCGCTCATCCTGGGATGTCCCTGCTCCACCCTCCTGTTTGGATCCTCTGTTTCCTGGGTGAATGACTTCCCGTTTCTTGGTGAATTCTCTTGTTTATGTGGAGCACATCTTTCAGGAGCTTTTAGAGCAAGGGTGCACAGGAGGCGTATTTTTGAGTCCTTGCATGTCTATAAAATGTCTTTATTCCACTCTCAACAGCTGGTTATTTATCAGGGTATAGAATGCTCAGTTGGAGATACTTTTCCTTCAGGCCATTGAAGACATCGCTCCACTTCCGCTTGTGTTTACTGTTGCTGGAGAGATGCTATTGAGGTTCTCCTTATTCCTGATCCCTTGAATGGGACTTGTTTTTGCTTTCCCGAAGCCCGTGGACTCCTCTTCTTCTCGAGTGTTCTGAAATTTCACAAAGATGTGCGTTGGTGTGAATCTGTTTTCATCTATTTTGTCAAGTTGACTAGGCCCTTTCTGTCTAGCAGCTCACGTCCTTTAGTTCTAGAGTTACCTTGTTGATCTCTTCCTCTCTATTTTCTGTGTTCACCTTTTTTGAAACTTCTGTTATTTGGATGTTGGATCTCTTAGACTGTCCTCTTTCTTTCTCTCTCTCTCTCTTTTTTTTTTTTTTGAGGAAGATTAGCCCTGAGCTAACATCTGCTGCCAATCTTCCTCTTTTTTGCTGAAGAAGACTGGCCCTGAGTGAACATCCATGCCCATGTTCCTCTACTTTATACGTGGGACGCCTGCCACAGCATGGCTTGACAAGTGGTGTGTAGGTCCATACCCGGGATCTGAACCAGCAAACCCTGGGCTGCCAAAGCGGAACATGCAAACTTAACCGCTGCACCACCAGGCCAGCCCCACTTTCTCTCTTTTCTTTATTAGACATGTCCCCACACATGCACAGCTCTGCACTATGATCTTGCTGCACCACGGGTACATTTGTTATAATTGATGAACCTGCATTGACACGCCATCCTCACCCAAAGTCCATAGTTTATTAGGGTTCACTCTTGGTGTTGTACATTCTGTAGGTTTGGATAAACACATGATGACATGTATCCCTCATTATAGTATCATACAGAGTAGTGTCATTGCCCTAAAGATCTTCTGTGCTCTGCCTGTTCATCCCTCCATACACATCCCAACCCCTGGCAACCACTGAGCTTTTTACTGACTCCATACTTTTGCCTTTTCCAGAATGTCATATAATCGGAATCACACAGTATTGGCTTCTTTCACTTAGTAATATGCATTTAAGTCTCCTCCATGTCTTTTCATGGCTTGATAGCTTATTCCTTTTTAGTGCTAAATACTATTCCATTGTCTGGATGTACCACAGTTTATTTATTCATTCACTTCCTGAAGGGCATCTTGGTTGTTTCCAAGTTTTGGCAATTATGAATAAAGCCACCCTAGACATCCGTATGCAGGTTTTTGTGTGCACATGTTTTCAACTCATATGGATAAACGTCCTCTCTTTTAAAAAGTTTGTTTTCACTATTGTTTTTTAAAAATCTCTCTGTCTCATTTTTGCTTTGTTTTTCTAAAAGATTTCCGTAGCTTTGTCCTTGAAGCTTTTTATTGAGTGTTTAATTCCTATTATTATTATTATTATTTTGAGGAAGATTAGCCCTGAGCTAACATCCACTGCCAATCCTCCTCTTTTTGCTGAGGAAGAGTGGCCCTAAGCTAACATCTGTGCCCATTTTCCTCTATTTTATATGAGGGATTCCTGCCACAGCATGGCTTGATAAGCTGTGTATAAGTCTGCACCCAGGATCTGAACCGGTGAACCCCGGGCTGCCGAAGTGGAGCACACGAACTTAACTGCTATGCCACCTGGCCGGCGCCCCTATTATGTTTTTTAATTTCAGGAAACTTTTTGTTGTTGTTGATTTGCTTCCTGAATATTCCTTTTCACAGCATCCTGTTCACATTTCATGGGAGCAAAAATTTTCTCTTATCTCTCAGAGGATGCTGTTGTCATTGTTTACCTTCTCAGCTTGCATCCTCTCTGCCCCGAGTTGCTTCTCCTTTGGTTTCTTTTGTCTTTATCTTCCATGTCAGAGGCTTTGTCAGAGGTCAGGTGGACATCCAGGTGACTCTTATGCACCTTAAGGTTTGAGAACTGCTGCCAGAGTGTCTCTTAATCTCTCCGGGGCTTGTGGTTCCAACTGAGATCTCTCAGAGAAAAACATGTGGTTCAGTATTTTTTTCCCAGAAGAACCAGAGCTTTTCTCTCCCAGTTAAAGGCCTGGCACTTTTCCTGAATGAAATGTAATATGGCAGTAGCCTTAGGGGTGGTTTTACCAATCGTTCCGTGCATGCTGCTCTCCCCTAGTGTGTTTGTTTGTACCCCTTACATTCCTGCGCCTTTGCCAGTGTGCCTGTCATTTCTGTTTAGGTTGGAGAGAAGCCTGGCACTGGCCATCAGGAACCTGACGCTGACCTTGGCTGTCCTTACCAGCTGGGCAGACGTAAGTGGAGGCCAATATCCTGGACCCAGAGCAGACATTATAGCCCACTTGTGGAAGCACACAGCAGGCCGGAAAGGCCCCTGTTCAAGGCCAAACCATCTTACATTGTATTGCTCCTTCAGACAGGAAGGTGCGTGTTTGTGTAGAGGTGCTGAGGATAGGAAAAGGGAAGCCAAGGGCCTGGGGTGTGGAGATGGAGCAGGGAAATCAACTCATGTTCACAAAGGCCCACATTTTCTTTCCTCAAAAAGAGGTATTTTTATTTCAACCATATATAAGATTATATATCTTTGTGTGTGTTCGATTAATCTCTGTTG